AGGCTGAAAGTCCTAATAAATTTGAGGAGGGGGCTGAGACAGGGCAGCAAAAACCCGCCAGAAAACCCCTAAAGCAAACAAAACCACCGTCCTTTTTCTCTCTTCTGCAAGCGCTTCAGCTTTTTCTTTCAAATTAATTTTATTCTTTATTTTTATATAGGCATATATATTAACAGCCTGTCTGTATAGGGATGTGTGTGTAGCTGTTGGCAGACACGCGGAGTTTCCACTCGGCCTTAATGCCAAATTAAAGCTTTATAACTTCAGTAGCTCTTTTTACCAGGGTATTAATAACCACCTGGTTCCGCCCGGGGAGCTCACGAGGGCGACTCGTGCTGCGCCGCGGCGGGACGGGCGCAGGGCACGGCCGCGGGCGGCTCCGGTACAGCCGATGGCATCCCGCCGGGAGGGGATGGGGGCCGGGGGCTGGCGAGAGGGGAGGAAGATGCTCTGCGCGGCAGCTTTTTGCAAATTGGCCAAAGATGCGTCATCTGAACTCGAGATCCTGACTCAGATGCTCGGCGACGGCTTGTTGCCGGGACGGGGGTGCCGCGCCGGGGATGCCACGCCAGCGGTCCCTGGGCGGGTACCTGCGCTCGGGTCGGATCAGAGGGGATGTCTGCATCTCACCGTGAGATGGGGACCCCTGCACCAGCCCCACTGCGGGAGCCCTACGCCCCACACATCCACCCAGCTCTCCCGAAAGCGGGTGGGACCCGGTAGGTGCAGCCGCAAGCGCTTGGCCCTGCGGAATGATGGAGCACAGATGAAGGACGAGGAACCACAAGTCGCAGGGAGGACCTGGGGGGGTTACCAGCCTGGTGACCCCATCGCTCCATGCCCAGACCCTGCTCTGCGCCACCTGCCCCGGGTTTTGCTTCCCCAAAGCTGGCAGCACCCCAAAAGGGGCTTTTTTTTCCTCCCATCAACGCTTCCCACTCCCACGAGGGCAGAGCTCTCCGTCCCCTGCACCAGCCCGGGGTCATCCCGATGGATGCCCCGAATGTGGGCATTCACCACCACCTGCACCAGCCCGGGGTCATCCCGATGGATCCCACATTCATCACCAGATCTGGCATCCCCTGGGTGGGAAATGCTCCCTCCATCCTCATCCCACCTCCTTGTGCCAACGCCGGTCGCTTCGGCTCAATTCAGCCGCGATCTCTCCAAGGAGGGTTTGATGCTCCACGCCAACAGCGTGTTCATCTCCCCGGGGAATTGTCGTTGCTGTTGTTGTTCCTCTGGCTTATCAGGCTGACCAAGCTTTGCCTTAAAAAAATATGTTTGTTTGTTTGTTTTCGCCTTCGGGAGCAACAATCGCAAGATCTCCAGCGGAGAAGACGGCCTCGCTGAAACACGGCCGGCCGGGCTTCCTCCAGCGCCGCGAGACAGAGCAAACTTTATTTGCCATCCCAGGCTTCTCCTAAAGCCTCTCGGGGGACTTAGCATTTTGAAAGTGAAGGTTAAGGTTATTCATGCATATTTTTTTCCTAAATGGATTACTCCGGTGTGACCGGCTGCGAAGGAAAAATCTATATAAAAATAAAAGAAAAAAAAATAAAAACTCCTGAGCAGTTTGGAGACAGCAATACATCTCTGCACTGGAAGACTCGAGGTGTCTGAATATTTATACTCCCGTTGGCAGTTACAAAAAAACTCTTCTTCCCTCCTTCCTACCCCCCCCTCCCCTTTTTAATCTCGGTACAGGCATGTTAGACGCCCTCAGTCAAAGATCTCCTTTGAACTGCTGTATGTTGAAATGTTTACAGTTTTACATTTCATATTTCAGAGGGGTGGAGGGGACAGGCACAACAGTCGCACACTGTGAATGCATGAGAGGGAGGAAAGCGGAGGCCAAGGGGGAGGAGGTTCGGCGGAGATGGGAGGGGAATCAAACAGCATCTCCACGCCGCAATTGGAAAATTTTAGACTCCTAAAAAAAAATATAAAAAAAATAAAAAATTGATCCCTGGTGGCGTAGGCTCTGCAGGTGCATCCCCACCGAACCCAGCCCCTCGCGCGGGATGGCGGCTCCGTCCCCGGGTGGCCGCGCAGCACCGGCCAACAGGGCTGGTTTTACCCACGGGTGACCATCGAGCTGGGCTGGTGCCGTGGTCCCACTCAGGACCCCGCGCTGGGTGAGTGGCCGGGGCTGCGGGAGTGCCAGGGGCTGCGAACTTGGGTGCCGGGGTCCCCCAGGGAGATGTTGCATCACCCTCCCGGCCCCGTTCCCCTGGCACCGTCCGAGGGGATGCGCAATTCGGTTGCGGGAAAAGGTGGCGAATCCTGCGACGTGCCTCCAGTCATGGGGGTGCTGCCAGAGGAGCGCGGCAAGGCCGGATCCAGTCGCCGCCTGGTACAAGAGGAGGGTGCAAAGCTGCCAGCCCTTGGCCTCCATCCTTCCCGGGGCGCAGGGAGGGACCGATGCCGGCAGACGATGGGCAAGGGCACTGCTCCACTGAGAGTGGGAGCTCAGGACAGGCTCTTCTGCCTGGCGGGCTGTGAGACGGACTGACGGATGACGGGATGGGACTGGGGGGGGGGGCATTATCTGTCCAAAAAGCAGGGGAGCTGTGGGTACGGCAGCAGCTTGGGGCCGTTGGGGCAGCTTGGCATGGGGACCTCAGGGAGACTTCATCCCAGCTGAGCGCGTGTCGGGAGCCTCCCCGGGGTTATTTGGATTTATATTGTCAGTTCTCCTCTTGAAAGCTTTCCTAGCCCTAAACTGACCCAATAAACCCCACAGCCAGCCAGGTCCTCTGGCAGACACCCTCCAGGCCCGGCGGATGGCTCTGCTAAATCCTTCCTTCCCTACAGACTAAACTTTCCGGGGTAATTCAGCGCGAGAAATGAGCCAGCAAGCCCTACCCATGGTGCGATGTTATCACAGCAAACCAAGCCCATCCGACGGGAGAGGAGCCGTTCCCAGCCCGTGACAGTCACCTGGCGAGGGTGGCTGTCCCCCGAAAGGGCAAAGGCTTCGGTGAGGGCAGAGGGGTGATGTGTACCCCATCCTTGGGGCAGCACCCCGCAGATGCAGGGGGGATGCCCGATGCTTTTCAGAAATATCCTACTAAAACATGCCCCAGGCGCAGGGGGTAGCTTCGAAGAGCTCAGCGACGCTTGTGCATGCAGAAAAGCAGGCGATAGCGGGTTCCTAGGAAAAGCACGGTTTTTATCCGCCATCGGTGATGCCGGGTCCGCGAGTTCAGCCTCATCCAAAAAGGACCGGGTCCACGCCTGCCCAGAGCCCTCACATCCCCGCGGGCACCAACCTTCACCCCTCCGTGGCCGCCTACCCCCTCACCAGCCCGCAGAACCCCCCAGCAGCACCTTTGGGGATTAACTCTCCACTGGAAGCCCCCCCCCGGGTGCGGAGTGGCCGGACCCCCTGGGTCTGCCCAGTGTCTTTGCCGGGGGCCGGGAGGAGCCAGCACCGTCCCAGGCGTACGGCGGGTGATTTACCCCGGCGCAGGATTGAGCTCACCTCTCTCCACCCCCACTCCACCCCTCTCCTTCCCCGAAGGGATCTGTCAAGTCTCTGCACGATGGAATTTTACTTTGCTATTTTAATGCAATTCTGGCTCAGGCTTAAATGGAACTGGAAACCAAAAGGCCTTAATAAATAAATATTATGATAAGAAATGAAAGCAATGCATACACTCAAGATAATTTCAGGGGGGATAAAAACCTAAGCATTCCTTTCTAAGCCTAAATCATAAAGCTTTACGTGAAGCTGGACGCCTTCTCACCAAACCTTTGCCCTGGAAAATCTCCCCCCCGTGCTTGCCCAGACTGCCCTCCCGAAAAGTTGCCTATTGTTTTAAAAACACTTTAAGCCAGATAAGACAATAGCCTTGAAATTCCTTCTAACTTTGTCGGTGACAGGGCTCGGGGCGACCATGCGCGTGGCTGAAATACGCCTATTACTAATGCCTACAAGAGATCTTTAATTATATCCTGCGCTCCTATATTTCATTCACACTCTATTTAATCTCGCCGTACGCATAAACACGCAGCTACTACAATAGCAAGAGCCAAAGCTGGTTTTGATAAATCTTGCATACTGTTAAGTGCTATGGAAAAAAAAAAAAAAGAAAACCCAACAGATTGTATAGATAGTGGTGAATTAAGGAGAAAAAACCCCTTCGAGACAGCCAACAGGATCACGCACATAGGGCTGTGTGTGTTTGTGTGCGCAGGCACTCCTGCGCGTGTGTATAGAGAAAAATCCAAGCTAAATATAGAGGTGCTATAGAAAACCTAAGGTATAGATAGACCATACATAAAGCTACATGCGTACGTTTGTGAAGGAGAAACTCTGGCTCGACACGGGAGTGGTGAAACAGAAAAGCCTGAAGTTGATAACGATGGGACGTACCTCTCTGCTCTAGAGATAGGGAAAGAGCTCCCGTATTTTTCAGGCTTTGCTGTGTTCAGCCACCCGAAGTTTTCTGCAGCCCACACCCCCATAGCACAACATTTGAGATCCGACCCGCGCCTGTGTAAAACACACCAGCGCAGATGCAACCTCCCAGCATTACAGATACCCGCTCCGCCGCCCCTTCCCTCCAACCCAGCCCGAAACGAGCCCTCCTCGCCCGCACCGCCCCATCTCACAGACACTGAAACCCGAAAACCAGAAAAGCCCCCCAAACCCCTCCAACCAGCAACATTTTCCCTGTGATGGGTGCAGACTCGTTTGCCCACCCTAATTTTCTGCCTCTGCACCCCCTGCCTTGAGATAAAGAGTCCGAACCAAAAAAAATAAAGTGTAAGAAAGGCAACTCATTAAAGAGTTTACAAAAACACAACCCCAATCAAAGGCAGCAGCAGGCAAGAATATCTGCAAGCAACATTTCAAATCCCCTCCACTATTTGTTGTTACTGCTGCTAATTTCTCCAGCCTGCATATAAAACCCCAGATCTAAAGAGGAGGACCGGCTGCCTAATACACACATCAAACAGCAAACCTTCGAGCTGGGAAGATTTTCTCTTACCTTGACTGGCTTTATTTGCCAGCGTGTTTCCAGAGTGGAGGAGAAAGAAAAGGATGGAAAATCCAGCAATCTGCAAAGCTCCCATTGCAATCCCAGTCTGCATGGAGGAGTAGGGGCAAGAAGGGGGGATTTCTAGTGCTTTAAAGGAAACAAGAGGCTGAGCATGCGAAGGGAAATCAAGAGGAGGAAGGGGCTCTCTTCTTGCCGTGTGTGAGACAGAGGGAGGGAAGGGAACTGAACTGATGGAAAAAGCTGCTCTGGGTTCAGTTTGGGGCTCTTGGTGTTGCTAAAGAGGAGAGAGTGAGGGAAGGAGACCCAGGGCAGTTGGAGGAAAGTGGACTCTATCGCCCTCTCTCTGGCGGCTGCTCTGATCCCTTCCTTAAATAATCCCAGCCAATTCCAGTTTTGCAAGAGAGCAGCAGCAGCAGGAGCAGCAGCGCTGGAGGGGGGAAGCAGGCGCCTTGCCCTGGTGCTGGGGGACCTGAGAAAGGGGAGTGGAAAGGAGAGCCCCATCCAAGCAACGCCCTTTTTCTCCCAGCCTTTCTTTCTTTCTATTTGGCTTTGGTTACTCCTTCCCGGCTCCCCCCCTCGCACCCCCAAGGCTGGGCTTTGCCTGCAGGAATTTACAGTCTGCGCTGGAGGAGAAGGGCCAGTAGCCATGGAGACTGCTTCCCTGGGAGCAGGGAGGTCAGGGCAGGGGGAGGCGTATGGCATGGGAAAAGGCAACGGGTGGAAAAGGGGAAGGAAAAATATATATATAAGAAAGAAAAAATAATTAAAAAAAAGGGTTTGCAGATGGCACGACCTGGCTGGGCTCGGCAGCTGCCGGCGCGTCTTGGGTGGTGGG